AAAAAAATCCTAATTATTTGGATCTCTTTTTTTTTACTTTTTTTTTTTTTTTTTTTCTAATGAATTTCTAGCCATATACTTGGGCAACAGGGTTAATGAAATTATTTTGCTATGTGCCAAGGCTGAATTTGTCTTACAACTCATGAAAACTTTTCAAGGTGAAGGTTTGCTTATGTGTCAAACAAAAAACTCATCCTGTGGCTTTTCTGAGATGATGGTCAAGCTAATTCCTTTTAAATTTGTTTGCTTTGCTTAAGGAAAGCAAACAAAAGTTGAGTGTGATATCCCATGTATAGTGAGTGTCACTGAAGAACAGAACCTGTTTGGTCACGTTCACCAGAGAAGATGGGAGTTTGAATCTGTACCAGTAATGTCTGGTATGCAGTCCTTACTCACATAAACAGAAATGGATGTGTTTTTAAAGTCTCAATTCATTCAAAATGAGAGAAGGTGGAATGAATTAAGAAGAAGCACAAGGTTAACAGTAAGTGAGAATAGTGTGTGACTTTTTGTTTCTGTCATTACAACTGTTTGTGAAAAACATGACAGATTCTTTTCAACGTATTGCTTAATATTATTTAATACTATAAGAAGAAAATACTAAAGTAAATATCCAAGGTCTCTTCTTTCACTGGGAATATTTTCCTTCTCACACTGGACACCATTGTCATTTTCTCTGAAGCCTCTGACTATAATACACTATAATTGTGTAAAAGCATCTTCTCATGAGTGGGGTTTCATTGCTTCAGGTGCTCTACAAGATCTGTCCAAAATGTCCAAGTGTGCAGTTTAAAACAAAACACAGCAAGATCTATAAAGTGCAGCAAAAGAATGATTGTACTTGCTCAAAATGAGGTGTATATGCTCTTATGTGCACAGCCAGATGTATACATCTTATTTACATTGTTATGAAATTGTGGCATTATCAAAGAATCTTACATTATGTAACACATATAATGGTGTTTTCTTGCCTTTCTTCACCATCACTTATGATCTCCTCTAGGATAAGAGAATGGATTACTCGACTGATTTTGGAAATTGTTGGAAGTCTTTTTCCTTCAGGGCTAACAAAGCATCACTGAATATAATTTTACAGTTAAAAATTCCCAGCTGCTTTACCAAGTGCCAGGTGTACTGTGGCCTCTCACAGTGTCACTGTTGTGCGAAACAGTAACAAACAGCTTATCAGGTAGTTCTTCTACCTGTAGTTGATCCCTTGCTGTTTGGCATTTTTAGAAAGATCTGAACCGTGGTGAAGTCTTTTTCTGAAATGCAGCCCCAAGATAGATGTCAGTTATTTTCCTGCTTCTAGATGTAGGGTCTTGCTGAATGCACATTTAATCTTTATTATAACCAAGTTCTTGGTAAATTTGAATTTGGTTAGCCTGAATGTAATTTTCTGTTCTTTCCATACGAAAAGCATTCATAGCTGCCTGCAGTCAGCAAAGTGTTGCTGCTGAAAGAGGTTGCCCAGTATTTTATCTATTAAAACTCCCCACTCAAATTACAAACTACAGCACTGACATAACTTAAGTGATGCTCAAATTCCACACATTTGTTTGCTTTGTATCCTGTTGCTGTGCAGAAAGATGCTGGAGGATCCTGAAGTAGCATCCCAAGGGTCGTTCTTAACCACTGGCTTAGAGTCTGATAAATTTTCTGTCGCTGTTAAGGAGAGGCTTTGCAGAGATCTGCTGAGATTAATTCATTTAGGCTATATAAATCTGGTTGTATTTGCTGACTCTAGCTGTTTCACAGAAACCGTATGGGTGTGGAGGTGTGTTGGTGTGTGTGCTAGTGTGCTGGTGCCTTGGTATAAGGTGAGGAAGAAATGCACTATGAACGTGTAGAAATTTTGTAGTTTGAGCAGAAAAACGTCACTGGTAAAAACTGACCAAACAGTATAAGATTGCTTGCCTAGCATGTGCCTAGAAGCTCAGACTGGATGATAAGTGGTCATTTCAGTCCCTGAGTGGGTCCTTTTTGAGAGAGAACAGATTTAGAGTGTTTGTAATTGAGAGGCTCGGTATAATCACTTTGTTTCATTGATTGAGGAAGGTAAGCCATAACCAAGCTGCTAGTCTCTGTTATAGATGTATTAAGTATGTGAGTTTTGGATAGATATATCTTGTCACTCTGAATATAATACGCTTAACCAGACCTGCATTGCAAATTTAAACTTGTCTTCTAGAATCAAAGCAGTTCTGTCTAGCAGCTGTAGAGACAGCATTCTGTTGTCTAACTAACAGTCTGTGTTAGGAAAATGGAGCCACTCAATATTAGACCAGCCCGAAGGAATTAGTTTAGTGCATACTGGTAAATCTGTGGGCTAATACTACATTCAGTGATTGATACCTGAAGTACACAAAATCAGTTTTACCACAGTATTGCATTCAGGATTAAAGAGACAGAACGGAGACATATTTGCTTATGACTGCATTTCTGTCTCCACTATTTTATATATATATATATATATTTCAAATAGGATTTGAGATTGAATTGTAATGTGTGGTAACATATCATTTTGTTGTGTTGCTTTCCTGATATCACATGATGGTACACTTTCAGGATGCTAGATTTGTAAGGAAGCTCAGAGGGTGGGATGTGTTTTTAAACCTGTTTAGGCATCATTTTGTCTCTTTGGGTCCTTACCACTTTTGAAAATATTCAGGTCTTCTGTATGGTGTTTTTTTCCCCCCAAGTAATAATACTGGACGTAAAACATGTCAATTGGAAAATACAGAATAACACACATGTTCGCAGCGTGTTGTAAACACTGATTCAGAGAAGAAGCATTTAAATACACTACTTATTCAAGTACCATACCTACTTGTGGAGCAGTAACATGGTGGTAAAGAGCTGATATTAGATAGAAGATAGCCTTTGTAGCAGTGGAGCAACTGCCCAGGAAACACATTTCCATTCAGTGCATTTTACTAGGTGTAACTAAGTTTATCTCACCTTCTAGCTGTCTTTCTGTGAGATCCTGTGCTGGAAGTTCCGTTTGCTTCAATGACTGGATGACTTGACTGTGATAACAGAGTTGAACATCAGCCATGCATTTTTTAAGTCCTTAACAATCCGCGTTATATAACTGCATTTTATGTTTATGTGTCACTATCAGAACTGAATTTCTGCTTCCTTATTTGTTCAACTTATTCTGGATTTGCAATTTTGATAACAGGAGTTAGATCGAGCACTGATAAGGCACTGCCATGACAGTGAGAGGGACTCTGCTTTTGTCTGAAAGTGTTGTGTATGCTGCACTCCCCATTAAATACTGCTAAGTGCCTTCTGAGTGAATGGAACAAGACACAGTTCAGGGCTGCCGCTCGAGATCTTAGTATGAGAATCTGATGTGTCGACACAAGTGTCAGCCAGCTCTTCTGATCTACTTGCTTGTCTACATTACAAGGATCATTTTACTGCTGGGTGATCCCCAAGTACTTAACGAGGTCATTAGTCTTAATAGCTTACATAAATTAATAGGTGTCTTTCCTTCCTCAGAGAAGCAAGATAATAAATACATATCAGTAGAGGGCTAGAAGGATGTTTAACACGTTGCATTTTGCATTTTGGATTTTTCAGACTTTCTGTATAGATACAATAAACTGTAATGCTCAAGTCTGTGCCCAAATTCTGAGACTTCGAACGTTCCTGAATGTAACCAGATGTTTCCCATTAAATGATTGTGTGTATTCCTGAAAATGGATAAAATATGTATTCTTCTAAATTTGATTTCAGAAATGATAACAAATTAGAGGGCTGAGTTGTCAACCTCATGAAATTCAATAAGCCTAAGTGCTGCACTGGGATTAGGCAACTCTGTATCTACGTACAGACTTGGGGATGAGAGGCTGGAGAGCAGCCCTGCAGAAAGGGATGTGGAGGTTCTGGTTGATATCAAGTTGAACATGATCCAGCAGTGTACTCTGCAGCCAAACAGACAACTGTACTCTAGGGTGCACCAGGCCCGGTGCTGCCAGCTGAGTGAGGGAGGGGGTTGTCCTGCTTCATTCTGAGCTGTGTGGCCTCATCTCGAGCAGTTTGTGTGCCACAATATCGGAAGGGCATAAAATTATTTGAGTGTCCAAAGGAGAGTGAAGGGTCTGGAGGGCAAGACGTATGAGGAGCAGCTGAGGTCCCTGGATGTGCTCAGTGCAGAGCAGAGGAGCGGAGGGCAGCGCTGAGCTCTGCTCTGTGTGACAGCGACAGGGCCCAAGGGAACGGCATGGGGCTGCATCAGGGGAGGGCAGCTGGGCTGGGGACAGGGTCTGCACCAGAGGGCGGTGGGCATGGAACGGGCTGCACGGGAAAGTGGGCACAGCCCCAAGTGCTGGAGTTCAGGGTGCATTCAGACAGTGCTTTCAGATACAGGGTTTGATTTTGGGTGGTGCTGTGTGGAGCCAGGAGTTGGACTCAGTGGTCCTTGTGGGTCCCTTCCAACTCGCGGTATTCTATGATTCCATGAATCTACAATTCTGTGACTACCCTGTGGTTGTGGATGGTTGAAATCCAAAAGAAGCCTACCTTTGGAACGTGTTCCTAAGACATTCTGATGTTTGTCAGACTAGATAGGAACTCCTGAACCATAATCTCAAAACCGGTAGAGTCAGCCCAGTTTTCCCCTCTTCTTCAACAGCCTTAAATATTGCTGCAGCTGGCATGTATGTAGGCTGTTGATAAGAGGCCTTGATAGGCTTAGCATGGATTTGAGATTTTTTTTTTTAACCCCTTTTTGGAAGAGTTGCACCATGTTATTATAGTGTCCATCACAAAGACTTCTCTTGCAGCCAGACTCCTAAGGTATGTGTGAGAGCTGTCTGCCACTCCTCTGTCCTGGATGCAAAGTTTTGTGTTCTTGAAGTTGTGAATCACTTGGGCATGAGCCAGTAAAAGATTGATAATGAGCACTGATATGTGATTATTGTGATACGATATGTTATTGTTGTGAAAAGCTGTGTGGTTTTGATATCTCTTTTTCCCTTTTCTTATTTCAGTTCATCGCCTTTGCCTCCTTATTCTTCATCCTAGTTTCAATCACAACCTTTTGCCTGGAAACGCATGAGGCTTTCAATACTATTATAAATAAAACTGAGCATGTTGTCAATGGAACAGAAACTGTACCACAGTATGAAATTGAGACAGATCCAGCCCTAACGTATGTGGAAGGAGTCTGCGTAGTATGGTTTACATTTGAATTTTTAGTGCGTGTTATTTTTTCTCCCAACAAACTTGAATTTATCAAAAACCTCTTGAACATCATCGACTTTGTGGCCATCCTGCCCTTTTACTTAGAAGTGGGCCTGAGCGGGCTCTCCTCCAAAGCTGCTAAGGATGTACTTGGTTTCCTCAGGGTAGTAAGGTTTGTGAGGATCCTGCGAATCTTCAAGCTCACACGGCACTTTGTGGGCCTCAGGGTGCTGGGCCACACTCTGAGAGCCAGCACCAATGAATTTTTGCTGCTGATAATATTCTTGGCACTCGGTGTTTTGATATTTGCCACCATGATCTACTACGCAGAGCGTGTGGGAGCTCAGCCCAATGATCCATCAGCAAGCGAGCACACGCAGTTCAAAAATATCCCTATTGGCTTCTGGTGGGCTGTAGTCACCATGACCACCCTGGGATACGGGGACATGTATCCACGGACTTGGTCAGGTATGCTGGTGGGAGCCCTGTGTGCGTTAGCAGGGGTGCTCACCATAGCCATGCCTGTGCCTGTGATTGTTAACAACTTTGGGATGTACTACTCCCTGGCCATGGCAAAGCAGAAACTGCCGAGGAAGAGGAAGAAGCACATCCCTCCGGCTCCACAAGCTAGCTCTCCCACCTTCTGCAAGACAGACTTGAACATGGCCTGCAATAGCACACAAGGGGACATCTGCCTGGGCAAGGACAACCAGTTGATGGAGCACAACAGATCATCAGGTAGGACCCACTGGAGATGCATGTTCTCTGAGAACGCTTTATAGACCAGTATGTTTGGTAGGGGTCAGAAAGCAGCCAGTCTTTCTGCCAGGAGAAGATGTAGCTCCCACCCTTCTCCCCTCCAGTGTTTGCGTGTGTCAGTCTCATAGAGGACAAAATAGTTATAGTGACATTCTCAGACCTCTATGTAGCTGGTCTATACAGTTTTGCTTGCTCTGTTGAGAATGCTTTCCTGCTGATGATATCAACCTTTTCTTTTGCCTGTTGTTTGTTGTGTTATATGGATGTTTCTTGTTTTTCTGCATGACTGTGACTATTTGAGCAGCCACTGTGTCCCACTCTGTTGGACTCCATGGTGTTTTGCCTCAGTGTTTGTCTCTTGTGTCAGCTTTGCCTGTGCCACATCGTGGCCTGTTAAGCAAGATCCTACAAAGAAGCAGTCATTTAAAAGGAGCAGGTGCTTTACATCAAAAGCCCAGCACTCAAAGGAGATAAAGAGAAATTCTCTCTCTAGTTTTCTTTCTATTTGGCATTCTGCTTCCCTGGCTAGAAAAAAAATCTTTCATCTGTGTTAGATGAGACATTGCACGACATTTACTATCAATTGGATGATAGCAGTAAAACTGATGTTGATTTTTTCAAGAAAAATGAAAATGGCAGCCCCTGACAACATCCATGCTATAAGTGTTGGTTTTCATAATTTTTAATACCTTCTTCTCAGAGCTTCATGGAAGAGGATACTTTGTGCTAATTGCTGTGAAAACATATATCAAATGACAGCCTCTGCCCCTCTGAGCCCATGCCCCATATTCCATATTTCTTCCAATTAAAGAGGAATTTTTCTCAATATAATTAAAACATTATTTTTAATAGGGATTTTTTTTTGTTGTTTATTTGTTTCTTGAATGCATTCTTTCTTAAGCAAAATGCAATCTGATTACAAAGCTTACACGCCAGTCATTAGGTGCCTGTTGGAAAGCTGATGATTGCTAAGAGAAAAACAAAACAAAGCAGTACATGAGTAGTGTCATTCAGTAACTGAAGTTTATTTTTTCTAACGAAGAATCTGGAAAATCAGTTTCTGAACAATATCTTTCTTGGTTCTGTTGCTTTGTTGCTGAATAGCATTTATCTTCAAAGAAACTCAGCTTCAGTCTCTGAGTGAGTGTTCACAAAGTTAACACAGCCTTTTGAACATCCTAAATGTATTTACGAGGATGGAATCTTTGGGAGGACTTACACTGAGGGTGAAATATAGTTAGTTTTACAGTGCTTTGACTGACTTTCAGACGATATCTTTAAAGTAAAAATGATAACAGCTTTTTCATGCCATCAGGTCCTGCCAAAGGTATTCCAGAATGGAGGAGGCTCAATGTGATCAGAGCAAAGAGACACTTTTCTGTATCTGCAGCTTTATTGACAAGGTGGTGTAATCATTGAAGTTAGGTGAAAAACAGATATGCAAAAAAGAAGTAATTTTAAAATGTAAACTTTTTGGCAGTGCCAGCACTCACACTGTACGTTCTGACTTTATTTCTGGTAGAAAACGCTGTTAAAGTAATTAGGAATCTTGTGCAAAAATTTTAGGCTGAATATAGCCAGTGGCACTAAAAGTTCACAAAAGCACATGCTCAGATTTAAATGCAAAGGTAAAGCAGAAGCCAAAATCATGCCATTACCTGTTATGTGCTGTACTAGCAGAGATTTATTTCTTGAAGTGTGGCCTGAATCTGAATCGGTAGATTTTTTTTTTTTTAATAGTCCTTTGGGAGACCCAAATCAAGAGAGGTAAGAGTTTCAGTGTTTGACAAAATAAACCACACAGACAACATTTAATGTTGGGTACTTAAAGTGACAAGCTGTGCAAACATTGCAGCAAGTACAGATATGAAAACTAAGTGTGCATAGTGAAACAGGCTTTAGTGTCAAATATTGATAATTGAACCCTTCTGGGGGAGGGGTTATCTTTACAAAGTGCTAAGTAACATATTCTAAGTAAAAATGACTAGCATGACCTCTTACTTAATAAAAAGGATATAAAAAATAGAAAATGCATCTTTAAATCTCTGAAACTGACTACTTACAGTCTTTAACAGGCAACTAACTGAGCCTTGTTTTGCTTCTTTCTTATTTCATAGTCTAGTGGAAGCTTATGTGAGACATAAAAACAGGAAAATCAAAAGATAATTTACTCTTGAATTAAAAAAAAAAAAACAAAAACAACTTTTTGCCATTTTATGCTGATTACTGATGAACTGCAATGTTGTTTTCTAATGATTTACCTTGTAACTACTTTTTGAGTGATGGGAATATCTGGCGTTCTACATAAGCTCTTTGTGATGTCTCATTTCCTCATTCATTCTTGTCTGTAAATGGGCATGGTGCTTTAACCAGTGTTATCAGGTGAAGACAGTGCAGGAAGTGAGCAGCCACTCTCACCTGGTGAAAGGCTCCCTCCCATCAGACGCTCTAGTACCAGAGACAAAAACAGAAGAGGGGGAACATGTTTCCTACTGACAACAGGGGATTACACGTGTGCTACTGATGGAGGGATCAGGAAAGGTATGGACTTCTTTCATTAGATCATAAAGATCACTCAGCAGTGTGCGTGTGAAAAGCAAACTTAGAGTAAAATGATGTGCACAATGCTCTTAGAGGAAAGACTGTACGACAGTGTATCTTTTTTTCTTTATTCCTAGTCATTCTTTTCCTGCTTTTCTTTTAAAAACTCATTTCCTTTAGTCTTCATGAGAAGTGCTTGATGTTGGACCTTCATATCACTTGTGCCTTCATTTGTCTGTTACTTTTTATGGACAAGCCTGCAATTCAGACTTTACTCATTCCACTACTCGTCACTTGATACCATTTATCACTTTGAAAGACAAATTAATTATTTAGTAACTTTGATCCGCACTTAATAACTCAGTAAAAATTACAGCTGAATAAATTATATTTAAAAAATCGAAATACCAGAAGTCAATAACATTTTTATTTCTGGACACAACAAAGCGTATCGATGAGATGCTATTTAGATTTATTTCAAAGAAAAATTTGGATTTATAGTGCCACAAAACATTCCCTCTTTGTAATGTGCTACCTAATGCTAAATGGTGACTGCCTCCCCCAACCAGAATTCAAATACAGTAAACTGCTCTTGATCTTGCAAGGTGCTGCTGTCTTACAAGTACTTCAGCCTCTTCAAGCCTAATTGCTCCCTGTTCCACAGGTTCGGTGCAGCCGTAAAAACCTTTTGGCATTATGAATCAGCCATGATATGGCCACCCAATCAGGCCACAGTTGGGCATAACCTAGGGCATAACCCCAAAATCAGCAGTGCCAGTGGTAGTCTTGCTTTTCCTTAGAAGAGAATTACTTTTTTTTTCCCTGTTAAGCTGCAGCAGTGTTCAAAGGTTACAATTTTTCTGTTCTGTTGTTTTTTTGGACAGGTTTTTTTGTTTGTTCGTTTGCTTGGTTTTTTATTTTGTTTGTTTTTGTTTTTTTTTACTAGCTGTGTCTACTGTAAATGTAGCTGTCCAAGCCAGCAGCAGATCCTAAAGCAATTCGCTTGGTTATTCTGCAAATGCTCTTTATGTTTCAAAAGCTCAGTAGGTTTAGCTTGTGAAGGCAGATGTGTAACCACAAATTGATGTGTATGGTGTTTGTAAAGGTTATCTCTGTGCACCTACATTTTACATATTCCTGTATACAATGTTTAGATTAAATGGAGATTTTTTGGTTTTTTTGCACATGGATTTAGGACTCTTGTCTGCAGCATGTATGTCTTGCACTGTCGCTTGGCAACTAGGATTATTTGCAGTGTCTTTTAGAGTAAGGTTCCAGTCTCTTGAGGAGGTCAGAAGCACCTGAATAACGCAGATTAGATTTGCCATGGCATCCTGCAAGACAAGATTCTTGACTTCTTTTAGAAATGCCAGAATAAACATTTGAGTGTTGTTCACTTGCTGGTAACTGTTAATTAGAGCAGATAAAAAAATAATGGGACAAGTTACCAATTAACTAGTAATGACACATTAATGTGACAACAAAACAGCGTATTTTGTATGGGGAATACATGAACATGTTCATTTCAAAATCTAGATTCAAGAGAAAAGTCATTGTTTTATAGTTTGCACTGGAAAAGCAGGGCTTGAGTTCAGAACTGACATTTTCTCAATGAGAAATGTGCTTTTTGACTGACTCTAATGATAACCTTAAACGAGGTTGAAATGTTTTAGCCACTGGCTTTGAAATTTATTGTAGACAGAGTAGGAAAGCTAGCTGATGAGCAGAAAATATTTTCAAGTAGCATATTTGAATTCTTAAGTTCTTGAATTTAACTTACACATCAAGTCTATTAGTGTTTCATTTAATTTTTTTCCCTTTCTTTCTTTTGGTATATCCTTTCTGTTTGGTTGCTTCCTTGATTGGTTCTTGGTTTTGTTCAGTGATCATTTGTTCTGAGCTTTTCTGCCTTGGCACCTTATCTCCATTTCTCAGATTATACTGATTCAGTGCTAATCCAAACCCCACCAAACTATCTGGACATCACTGATTTTTGGTTTATGCCTCTATCTGTATTCATCTCGTATTTCTGGTTTTCATTTTTTAGAAGTCCTTGTTTGGTTTTTTTTGTCATCTTTACTATCTTCCTCTGTCTTTGCTTTTATCATTAGAAAAATAGCAGAAAAAAATATTAAAATAGTAATAAAAAGGTTTCCCAGTTTCTGTGTGAAAAAGTTAACTAATTCTTTTGATTTTTTTTTTTATTTTTATTTTTGTAACGCATTAAGTTTACACAGGAGGTTAAATATATACATAAGCAGTGTGCATCCCTTCTGTTCCCCTTTCAAACACAATTCTCTCAAATCTGGGTAAATACTGACAGAAAATCAAAGCAGGAAACTGGATTTTGAATGTATCAGCAGTCTGTGAAGCATCGCAGTTCAGCCTGCCCTTGCAATCTGGAGATAACACTGCACAATGGCTAAGCAGACATGAAGGCAGTACATGTGTTTTAAGTACAGGTTTACAGCATGCAATTTTCAGTAGCTAAGAAATATGATAGTTGTTATTATTATGTATGCTTTTGTCTCTCAATTGCTCAGGACCTGTACAAACACAAACAGAATCACAGTTGCTCCCAGAAAATATCTTGTTCTGGGGAGAACCTTAAGTGTGATTTTTTTTCCTGAAGAATATTATTGCTTGTGGTCTGTCATCTGGAACCAGAACCTGTTTCAATTAGAAAACACCATTGACCTGCCGTGATGTTTAGATAGATGTATTGTCACTGGCACTCCATACGTTCTCTGAGAAAAAGTCTCAGTGTTTCACAGCAGGCAGTTTACTTAAGTGTCTTCACATGGCACATGGCATTATACCTTTTGAGGAAGTTAGGTAGCACCAACTGAAATCAATGGACTTCTCCTGCGTGCAGTGAAGCATGTATCTGTGCCCTTCAGGAGCAGCATCCCATCCATTTTGATTCGTGTCATTCTCCTAGCTGATATCTCTCTCTAGGCTAATCTGCTGATCCTATCCTTCATAAGCAGAATTACGCTCTTGCGAGTACTTAATTGTGAAGATTGTGAGGAAGAGAGAGAGCATAGCACTGCTTTTCAAACGTAGCCTCTCAAAGGTGAAAACAATGGGTGTGCAGCTAAAAGTAGGCAGCTGGAGCTCATGGTGTGAACAGAAATGTCTGCAAGTGTGGTGTTCTCTCCAAATTGTAATATATTATGTGATTTCCTCATTTAATTACTAATTCTTTACTGTTTGCTTATGCAGATTAATATCATTTATTTCATCTCAGTCAGCTGGACAAGCAATATAAATTTAGTGATTTAAATTGACCAGTCAGGAAGAATTTGAAAATATGTCAAACTCTGCTATCATATTATAATTTAATAGTGGACACAAAGTTGTAAGTTTAACATTTGTGCAGATGAAGCTTCCTTCCATAGTACATTCAATACTCTGCAGAAATTACTTACAAACATTGATGCAATTTTGTATTTTTTTTTTTAATTTCATTTTTTAAAGAAAAATATTTTTTTATTAGGAATTGATTTTAACAGAGGGTATATCATTCTAACAGCATTTATGGTCTATCTTAATGGGATTATGCTTAGTCACATAATTCACCCGAAAACTCTGTTGTGATCTTTAATTTTACACTCTGCACAGCTCTGTTGAAGCCAATAGAGTGGCACAGAGTGGAAGAACAGGCCAGACCTCTGACGTGGTTCTGTGTTTAATTTCCTGGGAAAGAATAGTTGCAGTTTTTCATAAATTGTTTTATTCATTAACATCTTTTGACAGTACTGCGTCTAAGTATTGAGTTCTTTCGCAGGCAAATTCCCCGAGTCCCAGATAGCTCCTTGGATTACATGACATTGTATTGTTTGTCTTTGTCTATTTTTTTGGCTGAATTCAACTGATGTCTGTGCATTTTCTCATACAAGGCTACGAAAAATCTCGAAGCTTAAACAACATAGCTGGCTTGACAGGCAATGCTCTGCGACTGTCTCCAGTAACATCACCCTACAGCTCACCTTGTCCTCTAAGGCGTTCTCGGTCTCCCATCCCTTCTATCTTGTAAACCAGATGGCATCAACCGGCTACATAATATTAATTCAAATACTGTTTACCAAATATTGGACATAAATGTAGCTTAATCCATAGGCTCCAGAAATATGATATAACTCCTGCATGATATAACTGTCAGTAGTTATAGAAGTGCCACCTGGATAGCTGAAGAATTTTATCTTGGCTTTTGAAGATTATCTAAGGTAGCGCTCCTTCTTTGATCTACTATATTGTCCTACTTCCCTGTGGCAATAAAAGGGCAGTTAGTGGATGCCATTGGACAGTATATACAATAAATAAGCAGTTTTTCAGGGAGATTTACTTAAAATAATGTGCTTCCAACTAATTATCCGTCACTCCATTGAACCTCCATTTCTTGTGACTCTAATCCATTCTGAAGATGTCTGGAATTGTGTCTTGGTTGCACACAGTGTGACTTGGGTCTGCTCATTTGCATGGACCATCCTGTCCCCATCACCTGACAAGCCGTGTTGCCGATCGCGGAGACCACAGAGGGCTCTGGATGTGTGTTCTCGCATTGTAACATCCTGCTGAAATGAAAGCACTGATAAACTGGTCTGCATGTGGGATTGTTTTTCTTTGTTTAACCTTTTCCTTTAGTTTTTAATGACCTACTTGTTTATAAATTGTTTTATTTTGTGATTAACTTACTTGGTACTGGATTACTGTATCAGAGTTCTGAATGTCTCCGGTTGTTTGCACACAGATAACTGCAAAGAGGTTGTCATTACTGGTTACACGCAAGCAGAAGCCAGATCTCTTTCTTAATGGCTTGGGGAAGGCACAAAACATGCAAGAAAGGTAAACGCCATCCAGACTTGCAATGTTAAGCTAGCAAGTGCTGCTTGGTACTGTAGTCATTTCTCTACTCCAGGGTTCTTCAACATTTTCAGAGACTGAGTACCAAGTAAAATTGAGAAGATTACTGGGGGCTTTTTTTTGTACCACTGTAAGAGAGTCATAGTTCTCAAGTGTTTTTTTTTTTTGACCAGACTAATACCTCTGGCTCATGCGCTTTGAAAAATTCTTCAGTGTTTTTTTGAGGTGCTTTGTCCTGTGTGTTGTTTGTCTGTCTGTTTTGCGACCTGTCTAATGTATTCTCCATCTGTCTCCATAAAGCACAGAGATACTCTTAAAATGCCCCCTTCTTTTAAGGCTAACTAAGGACATTTTTCTCCTTTTCTCTCTCCTTTTTTTTTTTTTTTTTTTTCATATGTGTATAGATACATAAATATATTTTTCAAGTGCAAGTTCATATTATGTAGACTAACTAACTCAGAGTGAGCACTCTCACCATTTTTAGAGTGAGATTTAGTAACAACTTTACAATGCTGACCAGTTGCCTATTGCATCAGTCCTCCTAGCAACCAGCATTCCTTACAGTTCTGAAACTGTATCTCCTCTAGTGGCTTTTTCATTCAGTATTAATCTGTGTTTATGCAATGGGACAAATGCAATAGCACATTTGATGTTCTGGGCTGGTGAGGAACAATTACCCTAAAATACAGAATTTTAGAATTACATAGGGGAGTCTGTAGCTACCCAAATCACAAGAGATCCTTGAGATTGTTGAATAATCCCTGACTGTCATGTTTTACTTTTTGTTAGGACAAGAACTGAAAAGTATTGTTAACCATGTCACATGTTCTTCTGTATATAGCCTAGCCCAACAGCATGACCTGCATGACAAAATTCTTGTACAATAATATATTTATCAGAGCATACATTTCTGATATTTAGAGATGTACATTGATTTAGTTTTGCTAAAATATTGTCAATAGAGAGATGATTGCAAACAGCTTTTAGCAAAGGAATTAATATAATATTTGGTGCTGCTGTTATATTAACTACAGTGTTGTACAGAATTTATCATGGATTTTTGACTGCTGAAAAAGGGACAATGGAATTTAGCCATACCAAGGACTGTACTGGAAAGAGACTGCTGCTGCTGAATGGGCCCTGATAAACAGCTCGCGCCTTGAGGAGGTCACTGAGGCTTTACATGGGAAGTAGAGCTTGTTAAAGAAGATTAAAGACTGCTCATAATTACTGCTGCCAGTGGAGGGGGTGATTAGTCACTGTTGATGAGTCAGCTGTAAATAAAACGTGTGTGCATGGAATATCAGTTTTTATCTATATCAAGGAAAGCTGAATTAAAGTCATCATTGCTAAGGCTCCATGCAAACACCCACACCCCTGTGTGTATTATTCCTGGTTCCTGCAGTAAGTTGTGCTGTGGATCATACAAAGACACACACTTAATGATGATAGTGATGTAAACTACACTGGTCTTGATTTCTGTCATAACAATGGTATTATTTGCAAAGGTCACAAATATAATCAGAGTAGGTTTGCATAAGTTCTTGCTTTCTCAGTTTGCCATAAGCTATATTTGTATGAATTCTAGTGTACATGCCAAGTCCTAACTTTACTTTTCACTTTAATAAGTGAAATGTGACTGCAGACAAACATCACCAACTTTGTTCACAGCACACAGTCTTCTTTCATTGTTACCTCAGACTATAACTATTTCGAGAAATAAAATTCTGGCAGCAAGAGTATTTTTTTTTCTTTTTCTTTTTAATTTAAAATGTTTCAAACCCAACATCAATAAATATAAAAGATGTATTAAAATTATATCTTAAAAATGTATATTTTACATAAAAGAGATATTCTTTGATCAGCTACTTTCTGTGATTTTTGTGGTAAATGGATCTAGTCTATTCTATGTTTATGAGGCTTTGTAGTGCTACAATGTGGTAATTATGTTCTCTCCACCTATTCAGTGAGAAATTCTCCAGAATCTGTTTGTCACCCTGGTGTCCCAATTGTAGGGACCTGTCCCAGTTGTGAAACTCTGTATTGTGGAACTTCTGTGAACATGTCAAGGTGCATGCACAATCCTGGTGGAAACCAGTGGCAATGTAATACCTGAATTGGAGAATAAAAGGCAAAAAACCTGGGGAGGAACTTGGAACATATCATCTGAAGTGGCTCATGCGCTTTCTTTAGCTTTATCTGTCCCTTGCCTGCCACTGGCCATCCCAATTCTCAGAGAGTTTCCTGGGGCACATGAGGTTTAATTCAAAGACTAGCATGAGCTGGCTTCTAAACCAATTTAAAATCGACCTTCTGATAATGACCTCACGCCTTCTCTGGACGTTGTAGTCGGTCGAGGTATTATTGATCTCAAAACAGTTTTATTGCAACCTGGTGTGAAGTGAAACTAAAGAAGTGATAAATGATTACTTAAAGCTTCTAATCAAATACCATATTTGGGGCAGTCCATGACATACAGAAGCAGAAAATCAGAGAAGGATGAAGGTGTTAGTCCACCTGCACACATGATTTGAGAAGCTGTTACTTCAGTATTTTGAATGAGATTTCAGAACATAAGGAAGATTCCAGAAAGCTCAAAAAGTGTTGGAAAAATGCATTTTAGTGATATGCCACCAAAGCTCAAAGTGCTGAGTTGGCCCAAAGGTTGTCTAGCTACTCTGTTCTATAAGCAGTACCCACATGAAGAAGATGTGCAGTGATCAACCAGGACAGGGCTCACAGCCAGTTCCAGTTGAGCAGGTTCAATATCTGTCCCAAGTACCCAAAAAGAGAGGTGATTGCAATTGCCTCTCCTCAGTGCTACACAGGGACAGAGAGAAGCCCCAGATGAGATGCAGGCCAGGTTGCGCATTGCTTTGACCAAGACAGTAGAAAACACTAATGGCCAGAGGGTGTTTGACATCTGCTGCCCCTGGAGGGTAAGAATGGACCTCTACCAACGCAGGACCTTGAGTCCAGAATATTCTGGTTGCAGCCACTTATCTACCGCCATAGAAACAAGCTTGTGTTGAGATGTTTTCTTTTAAAACTGTCCAGCAGGACAAGGGGTTGATGAGTCCATTAACAACTCATGTGTCTATGGACTATAACTCAAATCTGACTTTTCTAAAAAGAGAAGTTTGCTTAATGACCATCACACAAAGACCAGCCTTCTTCTGGTCTCCATCCACCTCTGGGCCCAAAAAGGGCATGTCTTTGGGTGGTGCACCAGCAAGTCTTAATTTGTTCAGATGGAGGAAGGCTTTGAATCTTCGCTTCCCTCTTCAGGGTACTGCAGCACTTCCATCTCAGATACTATGTAAAGGATGGGCAGCACATTTGCATCCGTTTCTTCTCTTGGGCATCCTTTAAGACAGGTGGGTCAATACAATGATCTTATGTGGAGGGAGGCTCACTGTGCCAGCGTGGTGTGCCTATACAGAGCAGATCTACACAGGCGCCCAGGCACTGTCAGCCCTGCAGCAGAACTGCGCTTGGAGGAAGGACTCTTGGGTCAAGCAGGAAGATTCTGTGTGAAAGCAGGTATCTGATGGATCAGTAACCACTGAGGGGTGGTTGTGGGAGTTTATGGGCATGAAGAGTCTGAATGTTATTTAAGCCTTTTATAAATAAAACTTGAAGATTAAAAGTCAAAACACGTAAACTGGAAATAAGGTCAGAAACAATGCATCCATTAAAGCAATTTAATAAGAGCTGTTGTTTGTTTGCCTTTTAAAGTTGTAACCTTGTCGTGCCAAAAATGTCCATCTTTTTGAAAGATAAACTAGTCTAGATAGTCTAGATAAACAACAGGATTGATGCAGAGATCAAAATCTGATATATTGCAGAGATGAGCAGATTATGAGCCCTTTGGACTTTGGCTTTCTTATGAGGTCCTATTCAGCACTGAGAAAACTTTGCTGGCCTGTCTCATTTGGGATGCTTTATTAAAAGTGTTATAGATAGGTACTACAAACTGGCACTGGAATTGCTAAGAAACTTGCAGTTAATGACAATGAAAAGCTGTGGTGCGTTGACAGCTTTTTCATGTGTGAAAAAAGTTATCATTCCTAAATATTTTCTTGCAAAATGTCTGGATTAAATTAAAACTTCCAAAGGAGAAAGAATTGTAAGGAAAACTCTGTTCTGACTGGTTCCTGAAAACCTGAGGAGGACCGATCTGACACGGTGAACTTGCCCACGTGTTTTATCAGAAGATATGAAATTAAAAAGTTGTGAATGAATTAAACTATATGAAAGAGAAGGGTATTTTATCATCAGAATAAATCATGCAGAAGTCAGATTAAGGAAATTGGAGTTGAAAACTGCTACTAGAAAGAGAAAATGAGTACATTAATATGCTGTATTACAAGCAGTGCCTTGAACGATTTCATAATAGAGCCTTTGAATACTAACTGAGTGAGAAGAAATTGCAAAAAGCAAAGGTTTCTATCAAGTCAAAATGATCAGAAATATTAATATTTTTATAAGACATTATTTTCCCCTTTGTAATGCTTATTGTTTAATTAATAGAGGCAAGTTATTTTAAGAAAGGTGATTTCTACAGCAGAGAAATGGCTTCTGAACAAATACTGAGATCTTGGTGTATGTGTCCTCATGCTGGGGACTTAACTGCTGTGCCAATACCAGCATTTCTCTCCTCTTCAACTGGATATCCTTAACACTGAAACTTATGGAGACATCTCCTTATGGAGATGTCTGATTCCTGGCCCCAGAGATGTGGGTATGAAACACTGTGGCTCCATGGTAAGGAAACCCATGCTTACTGGCTACTTGGCATGAGTGTACATGCCAGCTTCCCACGTGAAAGCACCCCAGTGCAGAAGCATCTCGATCTATGATCTATCTATGATTTCTTATTGCCTGCTGGCAACAAATGTGTGCTTTCCCTGCTGCCTCATCACTTCCTCCCCAGAAGCTACCTTTCTGTTGCAT